ATATACATATACAGGGTGTACCGCAATTCGTGACCGAAATTTTAATAACATATTTTTGAGCAAAATGTAAGACGAAAATCCTAATACGAAAATGTCGAGGCTATAATACTTTTCAAATGGGAAGCATTTATAATAGACAAATCAGGTAGTCTAAAGTTCGCGCGTTCAGGGACGGTACATTGCACAGTGATAAAGGTACTCTTGCATCTTTGCCGATATACCTAAAAAAATTTAAGTAATTATATGTACAATGATGCTGATGATGAAATGGTTTAAATTTGTATAATATTTCTAATTTTAATTAGAACTACTTACGTCTTGCTCTTTCCTCCACCACCTCCTCCTCCTCCTCCTCCCGAGCACGTTTCAGGCAATCTTGACCCAAGAGCATTTGTAATACAGCGACTGGATGAATGTCCATATTGAAAGACATTATGTTTTAGTAATTTAATAATATTTAATCATGCATATTGATAATATATACAATTGTTGATGCTTACCTATACCTCGCGATACAAAAAACTCGTTCCTGTGACGGTCCCCGTCTTCCTCCGGATAATTGAAATGATGTCGCGTCAGCATCACTAGAGCTATTATATCGCTCAAATTGTTATATTCGCCACAATAGCCAGCTTGGAACATCACGTTCAACATGGCACTGGAGCACCGTTCACAGAATAACCAAAATGTTTTTAAATTGTCCGTTCGGTCCTCACTTAATAAACACATATAATCTATCAACCGCAATTCGCGGTTTATCACGCAACCTACGTTGAAAAATTTAATAATCACTTCACGTAACGACATTTTTTCAACGTAAGTTGTTAGATATGGTGAGAAGAAACTAACGAGAAGAAACGAACTCTGACTAGTTTGTTGAAACTCATTTTCCATCCAGCCATACAAAAAGGATGGGAGGGAAGAAACTTGCCCAATAAGCGTTCGAGCATTGTCATTTAGGTAGGAAATATAGAAAAAAATTTAGAAACCCGACGCAAAGTTACCGTTTAGGCAGGAAATATAGAAAAAATTTAGAAAAAACCAGTACATCGGCAGGAATATTCTAGCATGCTCTCATAAAGGTCAGACCTATTTTAGAAAATTTTAGAAATCTACGATTTCTATATATTTCAAGAAATTTTTAATTGCGTCTTTTTAATTTTTATGATTTTACTCCTGTAATCAAATTTTCAAACTGAAGTTGGAGGCAGAAGATGAGCTCCGATCGAGTCAAAACTTGTCAAATTTTTATTTTTAAACAAATTCGCATCGCTTCCACCTACGGGCGTTGTAAAATTAAAAATTTTTCTTTTCTCTACACAAAATCGCTCCACCCTACTATACATATATCCCTTCGATATATGCACCCTTCCTCGGCGCCGACTTTCACGCACTTGCAGGGGGCCGGCGTAGTCCACTCCGGTATTCGTAAAGGCTCGCTGGTATCCGATTACTCTTACCCCAGGCAAGTCTCCCATTTTAATTTCAGGAGTAGTTGGACGAAGTCGAAAGCAGATTAAGCAATTTTTCACTATCTTACGGGCCTCTCGACGTCCACTTAATGGCCAGTATCGACTCCGCACCACACTGAGAAACTGCTCAGGAGGGCAATGATGCAAACGGCCGTGTTCTTCGCGCATAATCGAGCTTGTAATATAATGTCTTGCTGGTAATATGATAGGATGCCTCCCTTCCATTGATAAACTAGAGTGTCGGAGTCTTCCACCGACTCTAATGAGTCCCTTCTTGTCCATAAAGGGATCTAACGCTCGCAATTTGCTCTTGCTTGATAAAATTCTATCCTTGATTAGATCCTCATAGTCTTGTAAGAATGTCTCCTGCTGAACCATCCTAGCTATAATATCTTCTGCTTCGCCGAGTTCGTCAACCGTCAACGGGCCCTTCATTCTCGTTTCCAGCACGTGGCGCTTCCATCTTATACAATAAGCGATTACTCGCTTAAGTTTTCGGTATGTTGACAATCTCGTTAAGACACTCGACGTTTCGCTTGCTTTCAGCGTCACCGTTGTTGTTTTTAACTCCGGCAACTCCTCTTCTGGTTCCTTCATATTGAGCGGCCATTTACTTCCGTCCGTCAGCCAGTGCGGACC